ACCTATAATATAAATTTAATTGATATAACTTCTCTTAAATCTAAAAATAGAACATAAGGAAGAGCGTCGAATTTTAAAATATAGGCTTCAAATCCATACACAAAACATGATATATTCCTCTCAAATCTAAATTTGATTGATATATTACTCTCAAATCTCAAGGCGGTTGTATCAACTCGATGTACATAACTTAGGTACAAAATTTTATTGGATGGGGCAGTCCAAAATTGTGACCGAGCATGTTTCTGGAAGAACTATTTAAATGCTAAAACTGAGACAGCCTTGGCATAACACGTGATACTGTGCTCATGTAAGCATTATGATATTGTTAGTTGGTACACTGACAAAGTGATAAACCTTAAAAAATGTAAACCCATGCTTGCACATTAAGGTAAACAAAACTATGATACACCAAAGCAGCGTTGGACAATACAATCTGCATCGTACATCTTTCAACATTTTAATAATATTCTGTTTTTTCCTGGAAAAGGCCGCAAATTAGTTTTGACTGCATCAGACATCTCTCAGCCCTGTTTTCATAGTATTATTTGAATGGAAGCTAAAACGAAATATCATGTAAAAGGTGAGGCACAGGTGGTACCTTGAGCTGTAAATGGTGGTGGACCGCAAGCAACCACTTTCGACGCCGCATCGCATAGGCGTTGGAGTGCTTGGTATTACGTAGTTCCTTCATGCATAGAATATATGTCCTTTTAGGAGAGTAATTTTGACACTTTGCAACAGGATATATGTCCTTTTATATTCATGTGTAATCTGAGAGAAGAATGTAAAATTTGCTACCATGAATAAGACAATCATATACAATGTGTTATCTAGACATGTGACTAAAGAGCACATTAGGTACAGGAAAGTACGTATTCAGGTTGGGAACTAATAAACTGGGCATTAACTACTAAAACTACAGTAGGAACTATTAAAACTGCAAAGGTAGACCGTGGAACACATAATCTGGCTGTAGTGGGGATTTTAAAGAGAAGCTAAATAAATATGCATTGACATAAATTCAATCTATGTTTAGGAATCTGAAACCTGCATAGCACACCATTGGTTGTTGGATTACTGTTGTTCTTGCATCAAATGCCAACACATAAGAACAAGGCTTGCACTAAATCAGAAAATCAGAATAGATATTTAGCAGCCACACAACTGTAGTGCCGAGTGCGAGCTTATAGGTGCCATGTAATCACTGCAATAGAAACTAACATGATTTTCAATTGGTTCAACTATGAATAATCTCAGGTTTTCTTGCTGCTAGAACACTAAACTTAGGCCAAAAAAGGAAACTAAATTTCACATAGTATCGGTTGATAATAGCGATGGGTGTTTCACTATCAATTTCATACTTTCACTTTCTCCTGTGCTCCTCTTTCGTAGAGATCACCTGGTGACCAACAAAAAAATTTGGATGACAAGGCTGCATACATAGATCACTATTCTGTGAACGATTAGCAAATTGGAAGGAGATATCATGAAGTATTAATTCTAATTATATTAGCAATTAGGGATAGAAGTGTATGACGAATCATCGTAACACAAAACTATGGAAGGGTCGAAACAAATCATTAGGCACGTGTATTATCTCTGTGTCTCCGCATCCAATTCGTTTTATGTGATATATGGATATAGTATGAAACAAAACAGCAACAACCTACAGCAGCAGAAATGGAAAGGCTGTGATCCAAATATATCTAAATTTCGTGCACACTGATTTTGCTTTACAGATCATAATATTCTGATTAATTGTCAGCATAATTTAAATGGGAAAAAGTTTGGAATAGCTAGTGGCAATGTTTTCAAGTCATCCGATTAATCGTGATTAATCACGATTAATCGTCCTAATCGGTCCCTGCTGACTGATTAGGGGTACCGTCGACTTTTACAAGTCATCCGATTAATCTCGATTAATCGTGATTAATCGTCCTAGTCGGTCCCATAGCGACTAGGTTCGACTGGATGACTTGAAAACATTGGCTAGTGGTTATTTATTTAACTGAAAACTGGAACTATCTTAAGAAAGCCTGCGCGCCACCTTTCTTTCATATAGAATGAGTCATTTCATTAACCTACGATAGCAAGTTAATACTGAGATAGCAAACAACATCCGGTATGTTCATGCCAAATGTGTTGAGGTGCGCAAAAAGTCTCGGTACAGCCAGGACATAATGAAGGGCGGAACTGGTGCAAGTGGTAGAGTCTTACCGCCTGTGACCGGAAGGTCCTGGGTTCGAGTCGCGGTCTCCTCGCATTGCACAGGCGAGGGTAAGGCTTGCCACTGACACCCTTCCCTAGACCCCGCACAGAGCGGGAGCTCTCTACACTGGGTACGTCCTTTTACAGCCGGGACATAATAGTGGATTAGAAAATGAAACGAAATGAATCAAAAGGAAAAAAAATGAACATAGTTTGGTCTCCTAGCAGAGTTCCTTTTTCCCAAAGGCAAGTGGGACTTGTGACAGGGTAAGAGGTAAGTCAGGTTTCTATCAGATCATTACCTATAAGACTGTAGGGAAATTCTGAACACGTGGTTGTTTGGCTGACCTGTTGGCTCGCTGAATAGCAGAGGCAAAATTATTCTGAAAACTGAATGAATTAGACTGTGGATGAAGCTGCGTCCCAAGTGTGCATCTTCATCTATGACATAGTGACAGGCGAATAGCATATTTTATAGGTAGGTTACGAAATAAGCGAAATATTAGTGGATCGAGGAGGAATATCAATCACCCAGGATTAGAAGGTGTATAAGGAGAAATCTAGCTGCGGCTCTGGCCGTTGCAGGAACCGGACACCTTGTCACCTGGAAAAAAAGGAAAACATAGTACACACTCGATAATTTAGATTTTTTTTTTAAAAAAATTGTGTTGCCACCGAATATATTCTATAGACTAATCATTCAACGTGTTGCAAGATAAAACCCAGATAACCAAGTTTTAAAACACATACCATCTTCAGTACAATATAAGGAAAACTTAGAGCTTAAAATCTGAGATGGACTGAATGGGAGAAGATAGATTCATGTCACTTCCTAATTTAGCTGGCCTACCTTATCGATCTATTTGTCGAACTTGAACGCAGATCCAATGAACTTGAACCTAAATATAAACTGTCTGAAGGCCTCTGCACATATGTATGCAACACAGAACAGACATGGCATGGACAAAGGCGATGACAAATAAAGTGTACACGTAAAGCCGTTGTTGATATGGTACCACTAACTCTGAATAAGAAGAAATTGTATTACATTAGAGTAGCATGTGTGTGTGGTAGAGGTGGAGTAGATAACAGCAACATCTCATATGTTCAAGTGTTTTTTACATGCTGGGAAAGCTATATAAACTCGGTATTTATAGATGCCTAGTTAGTGAACAGAGAAAGACCTATCTGCTGCTGTGGATAGGTTGTGCACTGAAGGAGCCTTTGCTATAGACCAATGCCGGACATCTATTTTCTATATGAAGAAACCAGATTTCACAAAGCATTTAAGTCTGAATTCATAGCACATTCTTGAGGCAAATTATTATACAAATCTATTCGGTAACATTAGCACATTTAGAATGCGAACATGTATTTTAACACATAGAAACATACCCGCTGGATGAAACCATTGTATGAAAAAAGAATCTTGCAGCAACAGGTCGTTGTAAGGGCATGGCAATAAAGAAACAAGAAGAATTTTGGGAAGAAGAGAAGTGAGAGTAACCTCAGGAGTAAACCAAATGTCAAGGTTGTTGTAAGGGTAGGACAGCTTTAAAAATAGAAAGAATCTAGGCAATAAGAGTGGCTTCAGAAATAAACAAAATGGCATCATTTGATTTGTCGTCGCAAGGCACAATGGCATGCACTGAGAAATACCATTGTCTGCAATAATCCAAATTTACGGCACATACAGAAAACAATGAATGTAAAGAGGAGCTGGGTGTAGTGGCAGATGAAATAGCAAGTTGCAATAGACGTAGCTTAGGGAAGCGATGTGATCCGGTAAATAAATAAATAAATAGCAATACATATATATACATGGGCATGCGTTGGGCCTTTGAAGACCATCAGCCTATATTCTTGGGCTACATGAGAGTTCATTTCCATCACAAGCTATACGGCCAAAAAAACATATCCACCACCTGCACTGGGCATCAGGGACTAAACAATAGTCTGGTCACCTCCAAATAAGAACAGAGTGCGGGCAGTACTCAAATAAAGCTGTGAAGCACAACAGATATGAATATAAAACTGTCAAATATTATGATGGCAAAAACACTGAAGGATGCAGACTATTAAAAGGGGGCAGACCTAGTGCCGGAGGCTCCCACATGAGTGGGGTCCAGGGAAGGGAAAAACCGAGGCAAGCCTTCCCCCTCAAAATCTGCGGAGAGGCTGCTTCGAACCCGCGACCTGGTGACTCAGTGAGACAGCTCTCACCACTGCACCAGGCCTGCCCTTCAGGATGCAGACTATTGTAAATCGAAAATATTCCACCTACCACATTTTTTTTAGAAAATCCTTCTATTAGGTTGTGGCTCCTAACAATTGGACAAATTCATTCCGAGCACAGTGCAAACTGCAAGCCCAGATAGCTTGAACCCAAACATCGCAAAACCTAATCTGTAAGAAGAAGAAAAGGCAATGCGGAAGATCAACGGTACTGAGGACCTCGCACTTGAAAAAAATACTGAAGCACCAAATCATCATGAGCAATGGGAAAACAATGGAAAATAAACAAATATAAGCATGGAAGGTAACTGCAGGCTTGACGCATCAAAGGTAAAACTGGGAGGCCTAAATGTGCACGGATGCAAATATGCTTGTGATAAGATGGAAATCCAGGTAATTGCAGCAACAACTATGGAAGGCAAAACTGGGAGGCCTAAATGTGCACAGATGGAAATATGGTTGTGATAAGATGAAAAGCAAGGTAATTGCAGCAACGGGGAAACCACCATGCCTATGCTAAGCTGAAAAGGCTTCGTCCTATTTTTGTAGCCTTGTTAACATGCATTAGAGGGAATAAGTAATAGTAAGCATAGGTTAAATGACAAGATATGAGAACCAAGGTTTGTCAAAGCATAGGGGCATAGTATAGCAGTCACAAAAAAGCATAAAACCTGAACAACAACCAATTTTTCCAGGTAGCAGTGAAGTGCAGGAAACAAGACATGATTGTTGGTAGGTAAAAGTAGGCCATCATTGCATATGCCAAAGCGCCTCAGTGCATGAAGAATACAAGAAAGGAGCATATATATAATGGTTCGTATCACCCCATATGCCAAATGCCTCGGTTCAATAAAAGCGGAAATAGATAGAAATATCATAAAAGACCTTTGGCCACCCCCACCCCTAGCACGGCGGCACAACGTCGAGAGAGAGAGAGAGAGAGAGAGAGAGAGTCAGAGGTAATGTTTTCAAGTCGTCCAATCGAACCTAGTCGCCATGGGACCGACCAGAAGACTAATCGCGATTAATCGTCGACCAGGACGATTAGTCGAACCTAGTCGACCCCTGGTCGTCCTATATATCAGGATATATATACCTACTATATATATACCTATATATACTATATAGTATACACAATAAAGCAAGCATCAAGAGCATCTCTGTCTCCTACTGAGTTTAGGTGGTGACTTACTTGTGGGAGTTGTTTTCTTCCCTTTTCTACCATGTCCAGAGGTCCATATTCTTGTCCCAAACTCCATTTCTTTGCTGACTTGCTGCTGGAAGCCTAAAATACCAAAGAAGACCATAATTAGCAACACTAATGTAGTCTTGATCTTGACACAGCTCAACAACAGCACTGCTGCAGTAGCAAGCATGGCTGCAGTAGCAAATAACTAGCATTTAGCAACCTGAGTTTAGTACACATAAGCTAAACTGCTAAAGTGTTCAACAAAGTCACAAACATTGACATCTAATTTAACAGTCCAACAAAAGTAGGCAACTAGCCATCTAATTAAGCAAATCAACATTAAAAGTGAAGCCTCCATCTCCATCTCCAGTTGGTCCATCTCCAGTTTCAGTTGGTGCATATTCTTCATCCTCCTCCATTGCTATTGCTGAATCTACATGCTGATCTTGGTCTTCATCATCAATATCTTGTGTCAGAGTCACTGTGTTCCTTGGACGCTTCCTGTTCCTAGCATAAGTACGCCTCACAGGGGCAGCAACAGCAGCACGAGTAGCAGCAGCCCTAGGCAAGTTACGTCCCTCTAGACCCTGAGTTGCACCAATAGCCTCATCCACAACAGCCCAAGTCATAGCATTGCCACCACCTTCCTGAACTGGTTCTGGTTCACAATTTTCATTGACCCATTCATTTTCCCAATGAAATTCATCAAGCAAGAGTGGATTGCATATCTTTCCTTTGGAACCCAGCTCTCTAATTTTTTAAAATCTATTTTCCATCTTGCGGTTGTAACTGACATATACCAACTTATTTAACCTTTGGTGCTCTAATCGGTTTCTCTTTTTTTGTATGGACCTACACAAAATATAATGCAGAATCACATATCAATATTACTAGTTTACTACCATACTTAATTACTCAGCAGTAGTACACTAGCACTTACAGTAGAAAATTCACTCCAACTACGCTCGCATCCAGATGCAGCGCAACAAAGGCTAACAATCCTTTTTGCTAAACATTGGAGCTCATATGTGAGGCCACCATATGCACCCCACCAAAGCACTGTAATGTACTTAATTAGTTCATTGCTGATTGCTTTTAGAAAAAAGAGAAGGAAATAGTTATTAGAGAACTTACTAGGATTTTTTCTATCTCTGTCTCTTATTGCTCCTGGTTGTGAGAAGGATTCGCCTTCAGCCCTCTCATAGTCTTCTACCTGCTTGCTTATCTTGTTCTGCTCCTCATCATCGGTCACCATCTTCCACATAACTTGATTAAACATGATTCTCAGCCTTCCTGCTTGTCTCCTATCCTTTTCCTTTAGGGCAAAGAACTTGCTTGGGTTCAAGTATAGGGCTGCTCCATACAGCTGCTGCTCCATTTGGTTTTCCCATCTATTATCATAGTATTTTAGTACCTCTTTGAGTAAATCTGGTTTGCGTTGCAAAGAATCCTTGATTGCGGCCTTTGCAACATCCATGGCTGCCATAATCTCAGGAGCTGCTGGTGTCTCATCTCCATCTACTATCCTTAGAGCTACAAGAAGTGGTTGTGAAGCTCTTAGGCATAATTCCACTTTATTCCAAAATGGCATTGAAAGGATAATGTTCTCAACTCGCCGGCCTTCTTGAGTGGTAGAGAAACTGGTAGCATGCCATTCATCACTAACCACTAAATTTCTCAATCCACTCCTGTTCTTATGCAGGCTTGCCAATGTGAGAAATGAAGTGGCAAAACGAGTTACAGCTGGCCTCACAAGATCTCCTCCAATCTTATTTCGCATTAGATCTAGAACCCTCCCGTGCTTGTACATGAATCTGGTCACCTTCTGTGCCATGTTGATGCAAGTGTGGAATTCCTTGATCTTCCCAATATCCTCCAACAACAAATCCAAGCAATGGGCTGCACATGGTGTCCAAAATAGATGTGGGATCCTCTCCATTAAAAGCCTCCCTGCTGCCTTGAAGTTGGCTCCATTGTCAGTGATAATCTGCACCACGTGTTCCTTCCCAACCTTATCAATTTGCTTCTCCAACAAGTCAGCCAACATATTCGCATTTGCTATCTCACTTGAAGCATCAACAGACCCTAGAAAGAAAGTCCCTGCTGGACTGTTAGCAAGGAAATTGATGAGATGGCGGTGGCTTGTGTCAGTCCACCCATCGGACATTATGGTGCAACCATATTCCTTCCAAGCCTCCTCATGCTTCTTCCTCAACTCCGCTGTTCTGTTCACAGCTCTTTCAAGCAGCGGAGTCCTAACATCATGATATGATGGTGAGCGGTACCCAGGACCATATTGTCCAATTGACTCAAGCAAAACTTCCCAGCTTCTTGAATTAATGACGTTCAATGGAATGCGATTCTCATAAAAGAAATCGGCAACATGATCATCAACAATTACTTTGGCCTCCTTATTTTTCTTTGTGCACTGCTCAAGTGTAGGTTGACTTTGCTTGGATTTGTGCCTCTCTGCAACTACTTCTTCTGGTGACTTGCAAAGCATGGAACTCACTGACCTGGACTGTTTTTGAGTTGCTGGTTTTGCTGCAGCAGATATAGTGAAAGAAGTGATGGCAGCCTGAGCAATCTTCTTCTTGGCTTGCTTAACTTTTGTTCCAGAACTTGGTACTGGTACAGCTGCAAGTTCTTCTGCACCAGCAGCATCTTGTTCATCTTCATCTTCTACAGGTACCTCCACAAGAACAGTCCTTGAACTCTTTTTCAGATAAACAGCTATCTCCTTCCTAACTATTGCTGGAGTATTAGGACATTTTATTGCATCTCCATACCCCCCAGCAAGGTGCTGCTTGAATCTGCATATTCCGGATGGGACTACCTTCCTGCAAAATATGCACTGCACAAAGTCCTTCTTGGAAGGATCTGGCCACCACCCATACTTCCATCCTGGGTCTTGAGATCTTGCCTTTCTCTTTGTGTCAACAGCATGGGCAGCAAGATCTGGAGGTAGTTTTGCTATAGCCCTCTCAATTAGGGAAGGAATATCTTCTAGAGTAGATGAGGAAGCCGTGGCAGCAGGATCTGACCCAACTGATGAATCTGGAACACCTCCTTCAAGGTCAGGCGGAGGCATGTACACTTCCACATTTGCACATCGTCGGTCCACGTCTACAGAAGAACAACTTCTTAGGATGGACGATGGAGAGCCAGAGAATAGCAGAGGGACAAAAGTACATCACAGCAAGCAACCTAGCAGAGAGCCAGAGAGGCTGCAAAGTGAGGGATGGGGGAGGAGGGAAGAAGATGGAGAGGGGAAAGGCACATACCGTCGTCGGAGCAGCTCATCACGAAGAACGGCGACTGGAGGCGCGTGGAGCAGCAGCCATCACGCACAGGAGAGAAGAGAGAAAGAAGAGAGCAGCAGCAGCGTGAGAGAGAGAGAGAGAGAGCAAAGCAGCAGCCAGAGAGTAGAGGAGAGCGGCGGCAGCGAGAGAGAGAGAGAGAGAGAAGCGGAGAGGAGAGAGAGGCCGCGGCGAGGAGAGGAGAGGAGAGAGAGCAGCAGCCTGGAGCAGAGAGAGAGGAGAGGAGAGAAAGCAGCCGAGAGAGAGAGAAGAGAGAGAAGAGGAGAGAGAGAAAGAGCAGAGCAGCAGCCTCTTGTATATATATTACAAACCCTAGTGGGCCAAATTGGCAGCCCAACTACTCACCTTGAAGCCCAGTCAGGCAAGCCCAAAGAAGGCAGTGCCCAGCCTGGTCGTGCAGCCCTCTGGTCGGACGACCAGGTTTCTAGTCGAGCTAATCGAGTCGAAGTCTCTAATCGAGGTCATGGGACCGACCAGACCGACTAATCGTGATTAATCGCGATTAATCGGACGACTTGTAAACATTGGTCAGAGGGGAGAGAGAGGGTGGAATTCGAGGCGACGTGGATAGGTCGGGTGAATTCCGGGCGACGTGGTCTGGTTACCTGCACGGGGAGAACCTGCGCTTGGTAAGGGGTAACAATGTCATTTAACTCTGCAAAGGAGCTAGAGCTCATGGAAGGAGACAGCGCCGATGTTACCAAAAATCACTTCTTCTCATATACTATGTTTTGTAAAAAGATATTTGTTTACAGCATCATCATTGGCATTAACATATGGTCGACACAAAACACAAAATAGCAATGGCATATGCTCAGGTTTATCAGAAGCGCGCCTCATAGGTGTTGCCGTATGCTAAAATTGGGATAGCTACATCATCAGCAATGGCATATGCTCAGACCTAATAAAATAAATAAAGCAGCACCATAGACACACGCCTATATATACTGAAAAGATTATAAGAGCAGCACAATGCATTAAAACATGGTCTTTTTTTTTGCCAGAACAGCGACCCTATGTATAATCAAAATAAATACGTACACACAGAAAATGAATTCAAGGGATCCGAGGCATAATCAAAATGAATACCGTACGAAGACCAAGCAAGCTCAGGGAGGAAGAAATGGAGCAGAGCATGTATTTATAGAAGCGCTATCCATTCACAGATGTACGGATACGCTAAACTAATATGGAGATGGGGATGGGGATTAATGGGGATAATCACGTACCATCATTAAAAAGAAGCAGATTTGGGGAAAAGAACAACATCTTTTGCAGATCCAAGGCACGGAGGTGTTCCCGTTGCAAGAAAACGAATGGATCTATATTTATCTGTGCATCAGTACGTAATAAATGGAGAGATGGGGATGGAGGGAAGCACCCGAATCCCTCCACCCACAGTACAAATGAGAGGAGGGAAACAGAGGAGACTGCAATGGGACCAACATAGAGGAGAGGAATGACCTTGCTTCATGGGACCAACATAGAGGAGAGGAATGACCTTGCTTCACCTGGGAGATGCCACAAATGGAGCAGGGGGCGCCATTGTGCACGGACAGAGGGGACTGCTGGGGCCCACCGTTGCCCCGCCTGTGCAGCACGAGGGGGCGTGGACGAGGAGAAGGGCAGCCGCCGCCGCCGCACGGAGGCCGGCCACCGCGGAGGTCTGCCCGCGCCGTCGCCCTGCCCGCGTCGGGGGAGATGGGGAGAGAGGGAGGGGGCAGAGAAGAGACTGCCTGGACCCACCCGCGCGGCGGACGGAGGGGGAGGAGCTGCCGGTGCGCCGCCCGCCGGGGGGCGCCGTCACCTCGCCCGACGCCGGCTCAGGAGAGACCGAGAGAGAGATGATGGGAAGAGTTGCGTGTGCACGTGTTTTTTTTTCTGTTTTTTTTCGTTGACGAGGGAAGAGAGGGTCAGATATTTTTGTGGACAGAGATTTCCGGACGATATGTTTGACCCTATATTGAGCCATCCGTTTTTTTTTCTCGAGGAATACTTCGGTGAGCACCGTCAACACATGCAGGATCTCCAAATCCTTTGCGTCCTCCGATCCCTTCTCCATGGGAAGCAGCAGGTGCTTTGGTTTGGGGAACAAGCTCGATCAGTGTTGCTGACAGTCGACGCTGGTCGCTTATATTGGATGCCATCGAGTTGACCGGTGTCCCGCCAGCTTCGCCACCATCGAGCTCCTCCCTGCTCGGCCCCATGGCGGACACCGGTATTTCCTTGGTCATCGCGGGACATTCTTGATCGCCTCCTCCCATGTCGTGTCTTTGCTGATGGCCACATCATATGGGAAGTATATGTGTCGTATGTTAGATGGTAAGTATCCATATCGTACGATAAATATTGGTGTCACCTCTCTTGCTTTCTAATTACTCCATTTCATCACGCGTTGAGAGCCTCTCCTGCTTTCTAATTACTCCATTTCATCACGCGTTGAGACTTGAGAGAACACTAATGCTGCCTTTTCCCCCATCACATGCAGGACATTCTCAACTATGCATGCAACCTTCCCACCAGTACTGCATAAATAGTTAGTACAATAAGAAACCTCATTGTTACTCCTATCATAGTGATCCAGACTATGACTTACTCCGTATCCCTTTTGGTTGGATTTTGTTTATTTCCATACCATGCAAAACTATTATTATTATATATTTCTTACAAATACTTACTTTGAAATTAGTTAAACCATAATTGTTGAGACTTCTACATCAATCTATAGAAGCTTTCCGCTCGTCCTCTATGAAATTCCCGCAGCAATGCGCGGGATATCATCTAGTAAATCAAAGTAACGAACGCACAAGCTCTTTGGCCATCTCGAATGAAGAGAGAAAAAAAAAAAGCGAATGATCTTCCTACCTGGACCGCGATGAATCGAACCATACCACTAGAGCCATTGAATCATCCAAAGAGAGAAGGATTTGACTCTAATTTTTTAGCCAATTGGTGGGGGTTAAAAAATATAGTGGACAATGACGGATCTAGGATGCAAGTTCAAGGGGGCTGAAACCTCATCTTCAACCTCCTGTCTCTCCTCCTCAAAACAACCATGGCAAAAATTATTGTAAGAAGATCTAGAGGGGCTCCATGGGATCAGCAGTGGTACGGGGGCTTAAGCCCCCCTCCCGCCCCACCGCTAGATCCGTGCTTGCTTGAACGCTGATCCGATAGTGCTGTATCCGGTGGCCGCGACCTTCTTCACTGATCCACCGGCGGCTTCCACCTCAGCTGCCTTCTTCCCCGTTGGCGCTGATCCGCTGGCTTCCTTGGCGTCGTCGCTGGCATTCAGCGGAGAGTCCGGCTGCGGCGCAGCAGCCGCTGCTACCGTGAGGTCATCACGTAGACGGCAGCCCCAATTGGTCCACATGTTGTTGAGGTACTTGCGCGAGCATTCTATGCTGCTCCTCTCCTGGAAACCCTCTCTAGCCAAGCATGAAAGGTGATTTGCATCTATGTAATAAACTAATTGTTGCTATGCTCTCTAGCAGCCTGTTCAGGAGGCCGTATCGTATCGTGGATTATTTACTGCTGGCTGGTTTGGTGTGAGAGAAAAATACTGTTCTCGGCTGGAAATTTACGATCATTTACGAGCAAGCGAACAGACTGAGCTAGATGGAGTACTAAGCAGGGAGTGCCAGAGAGTCCCTATAATCATACGAGGATACAGGGATGGCAGGGGCCATCGTGCCCCCCCCAATATCACCACATTTTTTTACTTAGTGCATAATTTAATTATCTGTATTTATATTAGAAAAATATGATAAAAAGTTCCTGTCGTATTTTTTTATGTCTTCTCCACAACAAAATCATATAAAATACAATTATAATAGAATGTTTTGAATGAGATTTTTTGCCTGCCATATTAGGATAAATTTAATGAAATTTTAGGTTTTACTAAAAGTGTACTTACATTTCGTCATATTTCACATTTTACTCAATCCTTATTTAACTATTTAACTAGTAATAACAATCAAGGTTCTAAGTGCAACGAATACACTTAAAAACCTAAACAGATGAGCTACACTCAATTCGTATATATCAAAACTTTTGACCAGCTCCGTATAGGGAGAGAGGGAGGGAGTCTTGAGTCTTGGCAGAGCAAAGAGTCAAACGAAACAATCTTTGCGTCCCATTTTTTTCTCACGAGTTGACTGGCCACTGATGAAGTGATGATGCTCTTCTCGTGCATGGCTGGTCGGGATGGAAAGGGTAAACCAGAATTTACCATCAGCTAATCCGACTCGAGAAAAAAAATGTATAAACAAGAACCACAAAATCATTCTTTTTTTTATGTGTAGAAAGTGAGTCTCTCAACTGATTGGGGTGGGAAGTCTTGATTTTGAGTACTCTCTCTGTCCAAAAGAACAAATGCAATTCTCACTTCCCAAAAAGTAAAGAGTCTAATCAAATCTATATGAAAAATTACTAAGATTTATGATATCAAATAAATATCATTAGATTAGTTATGAAATATATTAATACTATTATCTATAAACTTGGTTAAACTTAAGAAAGTTTTGACTCATCCTAAACCTAGAATTATATTATTTTTTGGATGAATTGAGGGAATACCTATCTTTATTTTAACAATGAAAATGCTTGTAAGTGCTAGGTAAGGAAATGATAGCCAACGCTTAGCGCTAGCACAACTGCAAACACCTGTTAAGAGCAATGAGCGTTAAGAGGTAAATAGGGAAACATGTTATACAAATGACTAGATTAAACAACACTACGATGCAAAGTTGTTAAATCAAATTACATCCCGAATCTGAAACATATAACCAAAATGAAAAATGAGACATACATGTCATAAGATTTGTTAACACAATTCTGTCGCCGCCTGAACAAAATTGGCAGCCAACTCGAGCTCAACAACCCAGCACCAATAACCACTGAAGTCTAATTTGATCTAGATGTACATACACAAGAAATGGTTACCTACACCAGCAGCCACCCTACTGTAACCCTCAGCTCCATCACAAATGACAGAATCGAGGTAAGTTAGACGATATCTTAAGGGCTCTCAGACATTAGGTCACAACAAACAATGTTCAAGCTCCATCAGTTACTTTTCACAGATCACGGATAATGTCGGCTTGAAAATGGAGTGCAATTACCTGTACACACAGCTGAAAACACAGTACACAGTGCCAAAGGCGTACGCCTTCCTAGCCATCCAGCCTATAGTTGCAGTTGCAGTTACCGAAGTTGTCGATTGTCCTGGAGCAACGTGCTGCCATGATTTTTCCAGTCATTTCCCGTCAGATGAAGAACACTAGAAGAGCAGGATCCAGAATTACAATATCAAGGAAAACGACTGTCATTTCTAGAATATCTGCCTGAAGGAATCCTTTGTAGTGCCTGGGAGAAATCTGGCTTGAAGCGCTTATTAAAATTCGGCGCCATTAACCTGTCCAAAGAGGCAAAGTTCAAATATTATAGATCAAAGCTTGCCAAGGCTGGGGGGCTGGGGCAGGGCACCCAGGTACCATGTCCACTCTAACGAGTGCTGGGAAATTATGGTCTTCACTGATAAATAAACCTTAGCTAACTTCAGCAATCATGGTCAAAGAAAAAAACAGAGACACTACCCAACCATCACCTTGGAGATGCAGATTGCCTCGGAACATGTTGACCGAGCATGGATTTCAACGTTCCATATGCCTCATCAGCAGCCTATAAAAGGATATTGTCTGAGTGAACAGTTCAGAAATGAAGCATTAAAATGAAGTGCAAACTTTACCCCCAAAAAGCTCCTTTTTGTGTAAAAATATTATAGTCGTGTGACTCCTGTCACTGATCATGTTACAAAATTACAGCAGTTTTAGTTTTTTTTTTCAGTCTTAAAAAGCAAGACTTCAGTAGCTAGTTTACTTCCAGACAGGCTAGTAGTGAAGGTTGTTAAATGCACAAATAAACTGTTGACTGCAACAGGAAAACTAGTTGCAAAATATTGTAGCAGAGAGTAAAGCGCTCCTTTTTGTGGATGCAAGAAAGACCTACTGGGTTTATTTGTTCATATCAAAACCCCAAGGAGAACAAAGTATAAAATCAATAAAAGAAAATCATTTCTTGTATCTGCTTACAACCTGCAGCTTAGCTTCCTCCCATGTTGCTCCAATTCCTTTACCAAGGACTTTTCCTCCTATTTCTACCTGAAAAAACAAATGTAATTTCACAGTAGTAAACTATAGTGAGCATGAATGCAAAAGTTCTCTGTTCAAGCCATCAGCTAAAATCTACCCCCTATAATACACCAGTTAGAATAAATCTACAGCCACACAACAAATGCCTGTTCCACAGTCATGACATATGCTACATCCACACCCATGAATGCACCCAGAAAATATAACACCATCAAAACAGATGCACCAGATTATCTCTTAGCCATTCTCTCATTACTCATCCAAATTCGACGGCTCATGTTTAGTGTGTCTGCCCTCCATCGTACTCCCGCGGACCTCCCATGCCCGCGCGGCCGCGCCCGCCACGGTTCGATTCCTAGCGGCGGCCTATCAATTAAAAGAAAAAGAAAACAGCCTCCCGATGCTTCTCCTCCTCGCACAAGCTCCATCCGTCTAGAACGCCGCCGCCGCCGCCCTTGCCCCCGTCGTGGTGCCTCCTCCTCCCTCTGCCCCCACTGCTTCCCAGCCGCCTAGCGCCGCCCCTGACCACGGCGAGGTCGCGCTGAGAGCACCGTCCTCAACCCCCGCCGCGAGGTCGCAACCGCCCAATGACGTGGCTGGCCCCCGGCGGCCGGAGTCGCAGCCGCGGCCGTGGCTGGCCTTGCGCCCCCCTGCCCGGCTCCGTGGTTGGCGGCGCGGTCCCCCTGGCTTTGGTCACCTGCTGCCGGCTGTGCCGGGCCATCAACGCCCTACCACCTTGGCTGGTCGAGCGTCGGCGACGCCCCTGGCCATCGCGCCGGCTCGCCCTTCCTCACCCTTGTCGTTGATGAGCATCACCAGGGTGAGCTCACCTTCCTATTCCCTTCCTGCTACGGTGCGAATCTGAGCGCTCGAACCCTAACTAGCTATTTGGTTATTTGTGTTCACATCTGATCCATTTACAAGTGTATATCCTTGTGTTATGCCTACTGTGGTGAGTTGCTTTCCCCTTCGTAATGGATGTCAGTTCATGGATATATGAATGGATCGATGGAGGGTGTTTCTATTGTTTGGAAATCATGGATGTTAGTTCATGGATATATGAATGGATGTCAGTTTAGTTTGGAAATCATGGTCTTGAATTAGCATTGTATCTAGAATTGGATTGTACCGGAATAAAATTCTTGTGGTTTGAATGCTGTGTCTGCTACTGATGTTCTCTTTTTTTCCTGTGGTGCATATTTGTTGATCTATTTGCCTTTTTTTTCTTCTGGATGGAGCAAGGGTACAATATGAATTTTTGAAGAAAGAAATATGCCTCTTTGATTTCTTAGATAGGAGGTGATACATGTGCATGACTACTAAATAGTAACCTGCTAGGAAGTAACTGCGGTAATGGCAAAGAAAAACTCTATAATGTGGATTCTAGAATTCAAGATGTCTATATGATAGATCGTTAATTTTTTTTACCATGCATACCTTTGATATAGTCAATCATAAATGAGAATATTGTTGCCCTCTTTTATAACTAATTTTTATTGATTGATTGGTTAGTGGTCTTTATGGATTTTAGGTTATATATATTTGCATTCATGGATAGATATGATCTTTGCTAATTATTATGATTTAGTATGAGAGGGGCATATGTTTTGTCATTTTCCTTCTTCCTGCTTCCAGGTGTTGGGCAATAATAGCAATTGATTGGGCAATTAATGAGTCTTCCTGCATGTCAAACTTACAGTTTTATGTCATGTAAAAAACCGTTTGTGTCCATGAACATCAATGGAACTGAACTCGATCTTATGGTTGGGTATCATGTAGATGGTAATTTATTGCATAGTCAAACTGGTTTATGCTCTTTCTTTTTTTTAAAAAAAATAAGTCTAATAGTTCTGGTTGTCTGAAATCTCGCTCTCCCAGCGGGAGGTCAGTCGGCGTGAGGTTTTTGAGCACAAGATCCAGCAGGTCGTGGATTGGTAAGTTTTTGCTACCTGTTCTCTTCTGTTTGCACAAATGGATAATTCAAGGGCTGGTTTGTAGTGCTTGCAGATTTCAGCTCATGTTAAAAGGAATGATAACTCAGAAATACTACCAATTTTCCTAGAGTAAAATGTTAAAATTGTTGGTCTTCCCTTTGTTACATTGATATAGCCTTGTGTATGCTGCCAAATGCATTTATTTATCCTGAATTTCTAATGTCAAGGCTATCTGGTGATCTGCTAGAAATACTACCCCTTTGTCAGATGGTTGCATGTGTTGTGAGCCTCATAATCATTGACTCTGGTCACTAAAATTTTGAAGACTCATGTGAATTCCATGGTTTGCAGATAACTGAGATGAAGCTCCTTGTTGATAGCCTAGAGAAGGAGAGAGATTACTACTTCTCCAAGATGTTGTGTACCAAGAGTCATCTGGTTATATTTAATAAATTCTTATAAGCTTGTATTGTTCTGTAAAACTGGTTCAATCATATAACTGATGCGATGAATTATTATTTATTTGCTGATGCAGTATGCAAAGCTCATGCCTTTGGCTTTGATCCACATGCTTGGATATATGTTGTGCGCACTGCACCCCATATATGTTGTGACTGCCATGAATGACTGTCATGGCATTCTTGTTATCTGCTCCACTGATCCTATCTGTAGATGGCATCAAGTTTAGCCCATCATATCTACAGAGTGTTGCAAGTGTAGCCAGCTTGGAAAACAAGAAATATTACAATATTTTAACTCTTCACTGATTTGAAATTGCTGAATACTAAATTTACTACGTTTGCAGGGAGCTAATATCAAAAAATTATGTGTAAGAGTGGCACTTGCTGGCACATGTTGCAGTTTTTACCAGCAGGTGAGGCCAGTCTTCACTAGAAAACATTTTTGTGGTCTCTTGGCGGTTACTAAAATTGTCTGTTGCTTGCTACCGTGGTTGGCTACTTAGATCCAAATAAACAACTTACTATTGTTTAGCCGATAATATATCTGTGTGGTCCATTTTTGTCCATTGTTTTACTTCTACGATCAGGCTCTTCCAGTTAAATATGATATTATCTTCAGTTGTCAGTTATGTTGAATAATTTTTTAGTTCTCGTGTCATCCGATGAAAAAAAAATGTTGAATAATTTACAGTTTATCCTTTTGAGCCTAAAAAGTATCAGGTTTTCCGCATAAGCATCTATTGTTTTTTTTATTATCTCTTATCTAACTGTTACTATGAGTTCTGCTGCACTCTGAATCACCTATAACAAAGTCTTTATTTGTTTCTTGGCAGGTTTCATACAGTTTATTGGCTAGAGTATCCTGTGACCCATTCATTTGCTAATTCTCTTAAACGTGTGAGGGTCATTATGTCATCCATTCTCTTCTTCAGAACTCCAATTTCACCTATAAATGCCTTAGGTACAGAACTGATGCTATCCTTCATCCAAGCACCAATTACTGGCCATCTAATTTATCTATGTCTGAGATAGCGGTGGCGGGAGGTTGGGGCAGTATCGGGGAGATGTTTATTACTAAGATTCTTACATTTGCTATGTGTCAGGTGATCACTCAGGTGTCAAAGGTGGTCTGCAGTTTCAATTAGTACTGTCAAAATGGGTGTTGTGCTGCAGTTTCAAATATTATATATAGCCAAATTAGTGTTGAAATTGAAACTCCCTGTGTTTTTTATTGAATCTTATATATTTCATTTTATTCTCGAGTATGGACAACATAGTCTTTTGCTTGTTTTGATGTGTATGGACCAAGTGTCACCGTAGTGTTAGCACGGGCAATATACTAGTTGATTCTAAAAGGAGAAAAGCTACTTGGCAATGACAGCAACATAGAACAAATTATGTACTATACACAAGGGTAACAGAGGCAAGTTTTAGTTTTTCACTAAGTGCGGTTACAGTATCTAGATTTATACGATGTACCAGACAGATAGATGTAAGATGAATACATTCATCCAGATGAAGTACTGACCTGAGCACGAATTTCTTTACCTACTGAACCATCCACAGATGGCTGAGCATGGAAATCTAAATTATACCCTTCAACCGTACACTGCAATGTACCACAACATACTTTAGATAAATGATTATAATTGTCCTAAAGCTGGTAATGTAGGCAGCAACTTACAAGCTCCTTAAGAGCAGCAAAAGAAGCACCAGGTTTTCTTAAAGTATCAATTCTGTCATTCATATATCTAGACTCATCTGAAGTGCTTGCAACTGGTAATGTGTCATATATATTACTTCCTGGATATCTGTTTGACTTGGGATGTCTATTAAAGTCATTCTCCTTCAGAAATGTCACCTTATCTGGGTCCCATGATAGAAATTTGTCTGCAAATAAAGTTCACATCAAAATATGTACAAGATTTACAAGAGGATTGATGTGTTCTACATTTTTCCACACTTTATTGAAGGCATTCTGCATGAAGTGCAGGTTGAACAAACACACAGGCCTAGACATTCAGCAACCACAAGCTGACACGCACTGAAATATGATTCAACAACCAGAATGACAAACTTTGTCACGATTTTGAGATTACAATATAAACTCTTTAGTCCACTACTGAAAATAAAATAAATGGTAAGTATCCAAAATCAACCGCCTGTAGTTTACATATTTGCAAAGCCAACTAGAAACGAACAAAATGGGGAGTCTGACATTAATTCACCTGCCAGATTTCTTAAGGATGTATCTGCAGCTCGACACTGTGCTTCTTTCCTTGTTTTTCCAACTCCTTCACCTACTTTTTCTCCAAAAATCAAAACCTGAAAGATAAAAAATAAAATAGGAACGAGAATTATGAGACAGGCTGCTTAGAGTGATTTCCAATCAGTTGCAAAGTCAAAAATAGTTGGTCCAAAAATAACGCAGGCTTTTAGCTATATATGCCCAAAGCAATGATCAAGCACAGTGGAATGTCTGCTTTCAAGAACCAAAATTTGTAATGTACCTCCATTAACATGATCCTACATAAAATTTAGACACTAATACTGGGAAGAAGTAAAAATAGCAAAACTTGTAATGTACCTCAACGGAGAATTGCAACTCTGCCGTATCACATAAAGTTGATTGGTACTCCACCTAGGTGAACAAATACAACAGGGTAAGCTATCAGATAAAGAATAAAAGAGCTATCTGCATTTCCATCATTCAAACTACCTTAAATCCACACTTCAACGCAATTTCCTCTAATACACCTGGAATTCCTCCATATCGTGCAAAATGTCGTCCCGATTCCATATGGCTGCTTCTTTGCCCTGAAGGAGCATACAATTTAAATACTCTAAACTAAGTACACACCCAGAACATTCCAAGAAAAAGGAGTTTGTTACAGGAGTACATGACTTAGCTAGCAACAACAGGGATTTTACCTAAAACATGATTGACAACAAGACCACATCAACACAATAGAATTGTTAACTTATAAGTGAATTGCCAAGTCTTCCCCATCAACTTCAGCTTTTGGAAACTGGTTGGTGCATGCAATTCAATATGGTAATAGGCCTAGGCACCCAAATTTGCTAGGCTCAACCTAGGTGGAACTACTTGACTTTGAACTTGGATGGCCTGGTGTTATAGACTCCTTTTTTGGGCGCCAATACAGGCGCCAACCGCGCCAGCCAGCGGGTCCCAATCGTGGCTAGGATGGCTGGTCTAGGAAAGAGAGAATTGGGGAGGATTTTTTGGAGATTTGATTGGAGTTTGTTAGGGAAGTGCACCTAATCTATAAAGGGCACCTTAAGAGTGTAATCAGTTTTTATCGACAAGGAATAAACCTCCCTGAGACAGGCGGGGTTTCCCTTTGTTACGTACCTTAGGGATCACAAAGATTGAATGCTCCAGAGATGAAGAGGGCAATATATAGAGAGCCTCATGGCTAAATATAGAGTGGGCCTATAGATAGGCTGGGCCTATAGATAGGCCTATAGATAGAGCCTTAACCATACACTTAACACCCCCCTTCAAACTCAAGGTGAAAGTGGAGGATCTAAAGCATTGAGTTTGATCAAGTGAAGCCGATGCTGCTCCCGAGTTTGTGCTTTAGTGAAGAAGTCAGCCAATTGCAACTCTGAAGGCACATACTGGAGAGAAATAGTCTTCTGATGACAATGAGACCGAGTAAAGAAAGCATCCACACCAATATGCTTTGTGAGTTCATGCTTCACAGGATCATTAGCAATTTGTATGGCTCCTGTATTATCACATAGAAGAGGTGTGGCAACATCACAAGAGATGCCTAAATCAGCCAACAACCATCGAAGCCATACAATCTCTGCAGTAGTAGTGGCAAGGGCTCGAAGTTCAGCCTCTGTACTAGAGCGAGATACAGCTGCTTGCTTCTTGGACTTCCATGCAATAGGAGAAGAGCCAAGAAGAATGCAATATCCAGTGATGGAACATCGATCTGTTGGGTCACTCGCCCAAGTGGAATCCGAGTAAGCATGAAGCTGAAGCGGACTATCATGCGCATAGAGTAAACTTTGAGATGATGTCCCCCGTAGGTAGCGTGCACGCGAAGTAAATGTCCAAAATGAACAGAAGTTGGGGCACAAACAAATTGACTCAAAATATGGACTGCATGAGCAATATCCGGCCTAGTGACAGTGAGGTAAACAAGGCTGCCCACAATGTGTCGATATCGAGAGGGATCCTTAAGAGGTACCCCATCAGTGGGACGAAGCTGCAAGTGAAGATCCATGGGTGTGGCAGCAGTTCGACTATCAGTGATGCCTGAACGAGCAATAAGATCTTGTATATACTTAGACTGAGAAAGATGATAGCCCTGAGTAGATTGCTTGACCTCAATGCCTAAGAAATAACTGAGAGGACCCAAATCAGACATCTGAAATTCAGCACTGAGTTGTTGCTTCACATGGGAAATGTGATCCTTATCATCACCCGTAATCAGCATATCATCAACATAGAGAAGAAGCAACGTACGGCCACGTGGTGACAAATGAACAAATAAAGCCGGATCATGATCACTAGCTGAAAAGCCAGCAGCCCGTATCACTGAGACAAAACGCTCATGCCAAGCACGAGGAGCCTGTTTAAGGCCATATAAAGCACGGCGAAGACGACAGACATATCCTGGAGGAGCGACAACACCCGGGGGCGGTTGCATATAAACTTCTTCAGTCAAATCACCATGAAGAAAGGCATTCTTGACATCCATTTGAGATATGGGCCAAGAAGAAGCTGCTGCAACTGCAATTAATGTACGGACTGTCGTCATATGAGCAACAGGTGCAAAAGTCTCATCATAATCTAGACCCTGAGTTTGCTGAAAACCTCTGGCAACAAGACGGGCCTTATATCTCTCTATAGAGCCATCTGACTTGGTCTTCACTTTGAATACCCACTTAGATGTAATAGGTACTGTGTGCGATGGCAATGGAACAAGATCCCAAGTGCCTTGACGATCAAGGGCGGCAAGTTCCTCAGACATAGCTAGCTGCCATTCCAGAATTTGAGAAGCTTCCTGATAAGTGGATGGCTCATCAACAACAGCATGCACTTGGGGAAAACCGTACTTCTCTTCAGGATGAATGGTACTGCGGTCTCGAAGATTATATCGTGGAGCAACCTGTAACTCATCAACATGTGAATCATCAATGTTATTATTAGAAGCATCAGCAGCGGGCTCATCTGGACTAGCCATGGTGGGAGAACTAGACGGAAGCTGGGAGGGACGACGGTACTGTGAACACGCGATGTAATAGGTGGTTTTGAAAAAGATTGAGATGGAGACGAGGATGTTGTAGGAGGTAAAAGTGGTGTGATGGAAATAGGAGGATCGAGATGGTGCGAAGCATCATCGGTGGATGAATTTGGAGGAAGGCTCAAAAAGAGGTGGACTCGTGGGAGAATATGAAGGGTTAGTGGAAGGGTTATAAAAGAAGGGCGATCCTCATCAAAGGTAACATCACGAGAGATGCGTCATGACGGGAAGAAGGGTCATAACATCGATAACCTTTATGCTCGGGACTATACCCTAGAAAAGCACATTCAACAGATTATGCAATCAATTTTGTAATGCGCTCACGAGGTGCAAGCGAGAACATAGCAAGTGCATCCAAAAACTCAAGATGATCATAGCTAGGAGGAGTACCAAAAAGTACTTCACCGGGACAATGTGATCGACAATTTAGATGAAGGTTGCCTATTGATGAGATAGACAAGAAGTGGAAACAGCTTCTCCCCAAAAATGAGAAGGGACAAATGATGAAATCAAAAGTGTGCAAGCTGTCTCTATGAGATGGCGATGTTTTCGTTCAGCAACACCATTCGAGCATGAGCACCGGACAAGAGAGTTGTGCAAGTGTACCCTCGAGACGATAGAAATTGGCGAAAGACAATGAGACAAGTACTCACCCCAGTGCCGAACGAAGAACTTTAATGGGAGCTAAAAATTGTGTGTGAACCATTCGAACAAAAGACTGATAAATGGAACACAATTGCGAACGATGTTTCATGAAATAAATCCATGTATAGCGAGAATAATCATCAATAAAAATGACATAGTATTTATGACCACCTTTTGTAGCAAAAGGTGCAGGACCCCATACATCGATGTGAATAATATCAAAAGGTCTAGCGAGCGAGAAACACTAGAAGGGTAAGGAAGTTGTATTTGTTTGCCAAGCTTACAACCCTTACAATGAAAGCTAGACTCAATAGAGATATGACCTAAACAACCTTTATTTATCATGGACGACAAACGAGACCCGGAAAGATGACCAAAGGCGATGATGCCACTTGGCAAATGAAGAGGTGAAGACGATGCAATGGATGAGACATGAGCTGTAGATGGAACAGACGAAGGAAGACGTAGGGTGTTCAAAACGTAGAGGCTAGAAGCACCTTTACGGGATGATGGCGGTCCCAATCACTTTCCCACTGCGACGGTCCTGAATAAAACAAGATGAGTCATCAAAACCAACAAAGCAATTCGGTCGGTAATTTGACCAACCGACGGAAGATTCATAGACAAGCGAGGTACAAAGGAAACATTGGGTACAGAAAAGTGATTATTGCAAAGTGAACCCGATGAGTGATATGACAATATGTACCATCACCGTTATGCGAAACAGAAGCACCATCGAGGATCGGCTTGCGAGGCAACCAGCTGGGACTGATCGGAGGTCACATGAAAAGAAGCGCTGAATCAAGCACCCAAGCCGAGGGAGCACTAACAATCGAGGAAGTAGCCACTGAAACTGAGCCTCTAGGAGTGGAACCAGTACCACGACCACGACCACGACCACCATGAGCAGCACGCCGCCGTACGATACTCAGCCAACTTCTCCGGATGATGAGAGAAACAATTTTCTGAAGATGACCAGTCCTGCCACAATGCTTACAAGGTTCGGCAGAGGTACTATTGGGTGCACTAGTCCTCCGAGAAGCTGCCAACACACCATGAGACACTGTAGCGGACAGGGACTTGAGACGAGTTTCTTCTGCAAGCAAATCTGACAAAGCATTTGCCATAGTGAGATCAGAAGAACTGTGAAGCAACCGTGTCTGGGATGGAATCATACTCAGCTCGAACTCCCATGACAAATCTGTAAGTGAAAAACTTTTCAATAAATTTATGTGCTGGACAAGAATCAGCTGAACATTCAGGTACCATGGAAGTCAATGATCCCATCAATTGATCAAAAGCAGAATAGTACTCATCAATGGACATATCATTCTGCTCTATGACATGAGTTTGCTGCATAAGACTATGTAAAAGAGCCCCACTGTCCTGTACATAGCGCTGCTTTAGATTTTCCCATATGGCCTTAGCAGTTTTGAACTTAGAAAGACTCATAATCAAGGATTGTTTAGTACTATTGACCATAGCAGCCATCACTTTGCCATCATTGATACCCCAATCCTTTACTGCAGTAGCATTACTACCATCCTCCTTAGGCTTAGGGGCATTGTCAGTTAGATGATGTAGTAAACCATGACCCCTTAAAGCAGTTTCTACACAGAAGGCCCATTCAGGATAATTTGGACCCTCTAAAGTGATACGGATGACAATTGCATTGAGCTGAGACTGAGACATGATGGAAACAACTGCGAACAGCTGACCAAGGAGGAGGGAGGCAGCGATTTGTTACCACTGTGGTATAAGAAGCAGACGACCCCCTCTATTTGCTGAATGTGCAAGACCTCCTCTGCTCTGTTCCCAACAGGCGAGCAGAGCAGGGAAGTTGGAGACTGAAGAGACGTGGAGCAGCGACAAGCGGAAGCAGATGACGATCAGGACCTCCTCTGCTCTGTTCCAACAACAGGCGGGCAGAACAGAGAAGCCGGAGATTGAAGAGGTTGAAGAGGCGACGAGCAGCGACGAGCGGAAGCAGCAGACGACGATCCCCGCAACGGAGACGAGTCGCGAGCGACGTGCCCCGCGACGGAAGATTCGCGATGCAACTCACGAGCCGCGACGGAGACGAGTCGCGATCCAAGTCGCGAGTGACGTGGACGTGCGGAAGCCTCGGGCAGGCGATGAGACGGCAACGGGCCGTCGGGCGAAGGGGCACGATGAGACGGCGACGGACTGTCCACGCGGGAAGACGGCCGACGAGAGGGCACAGCGACGGGCCGCGCGAAGAAGAGAGGATCCCAAGGAAAAAAAATGGATCGTGGGTCAGACTAATCTAATCCTAACCCTAATCCCATAGCTCTGGTACCATGTTACGTACCTAGGGATCACAAAGATTGAATGCTCCAGAGATGAAGAGGGCAATATATAGAGAGCCTCATGGCTAAATATAGAGTGGGCCTATAGATAGGCTGGGCCTATAGATAGGCCTATAGATAGAGCCTTAACCATACACTTAACACCCTTCACGGTGGCGTCGGGCGATTCAGCCGGCTCCCTTGACGAACCCGCTGCCGTCCTTCCGACCCTCTTCGCTCCAGTTCCCAATCCCAGCTCCTCCTCCAATCCCCTCTACGCACTCCTCACCGCCCACGCCGCATCATCTGGGCATACATCCACACCTCAACTGGGCTAGGCTCAATCTAACATTCCAGCCAAATACAACCTCTTGTCATCTTGTTTTGAAATGAAAACTGGACACCAAAGTAAACAAACCAATAAAGTGCAACCTACTAAAGTAATGGTGGCTCTGAAAGGTCGCATAAAGCTTGCATCCAGAAAGATGGAAACACACCACAAGAGAAGCAACAGAACCATCAAGGGTAAACAAAATATACCAGATCACAGAACCATCAAGGGTAAACAAAATATACCAGAAAAGGATCGATAAGCTGTAGGTGCATGGTTATGAAGTGTATGATGATCTTCACTTTGAGGTGGCTGAGTAAATAAAACACATGTCACCGAATCATCCATAGAAACCTCACTAATAAAGACCAATAAATCTAAAGAAGACTAATTAAAATTCTGATCAAAATAAATGATCACTAACCTGAGAAGGATATCTCTGATTCTGATAATTGTATCTATCATAAGACATAGGATTATCCCCGATAGGGATGTATGATGTATGCTGCAATTGCTTCTTATCATACTGTACAGAATCAGATTCGAAATTAAATTCTGTTGAAACCTTGTTCAGGTTCCTAGGGTTCATCTCATCCTCTAAGCAAACCCAATTTCCATGAGATTGCACAGGAGGTACTGAGACTTGTGAAGGAGGTCCAGCAGGAAACGGCAGTGCAGGATCTCTTGTGTCTTGACCATGTTGTAATATGAGAAGCCTTCTCCGAGTGTCAGGATCCAATTCAGACTCAGGAACTTCACCCTCTTCTCTAGCCGGAGAACCTTGGGAAGGATCCACATGGCCAGATTGAGCAACATGCCATCTTAGTGAAGGAGGCTGAGGATCCAGATCATTATTCAAAGGCATACCCAGTGGTGGTGCTACTGGAGTAGATGAGGATATAGGTGTAACAAAGTGTTGGTTAGCGGCTACTGACACCAGATCGACATTATTTGTTATTGGATTCGCAGATTGAAAGCTGGAAGAAGCTTCCTGAAAATTTTTCAGATGCAAATAAGAGTCAGATGTGATTTTTAAAGTGCTAAAAAACAGCATCAGTAGAACAAATATGAAGTTATTAGTTTGTGGATTATATTCACACTTTTGTTAAGCCTTCTCAGTGGAAGTTGGAATGAAACCATATGCAGCAGTTGCTAAGAAATATGAAGTTTATCATTTCCGTTTTGTTGTAGGCAGATAAAGATGATAAAAATGGAATACTGCCATACAGAATGGCAAATAATTTTGAGGTATTGGTTGGATATAATATAGGTCAAGCCTGCAACAATTGAGTACCAAGCTATGCATTTACGCCATAAAAAATTGTTTCTTTGAAAGAAGTTTGTATTTTCATTCTGCATTTCAGGCATAACACGACTTAAATTACGAAATATTACACATGAAGGATTAAACAGTTACATCTTGAGATTCGAAAATGTACAATTCAACCCTAAAAACATGTCCAAAATGTCCAATGGGCATAAATAGCCTAAGATATTCTCTACACAATGCTTCATTTCACAGAGCATTTGATTTGATTCGCACAACAGCACCACATTTCCTGAATCTACATTAACTTTGAAATTTATACAATTTAGCCAAGAATTCATAACAAGGCACTAAAAGTGCAAACCTTCATTCTCTTCTCAACCTCTGCACCTGCCATACCATCAAAAGCTAGTGGGCTTTTGTTTACATTTGAAACAGCAGCATTCTCGTCCTAACAAAGAGAAAATTAATGTTGCTTGGTAGAAATTAGGTACAAGGTGTTCAAAATTTGGGTGCAAAGCCCTTGATCCAAAAGAAAACTGGGTTTAATCTCCAGTATTTGCCTTTATAAAGTTTACCTCTGAAATAAAATAATTGCTAACATCAGGAGCAGAAGGAATGTCATCCAATTCGTCCTCATAACAAACTTCAGTAATCCTTGGAATGATACCCTCATCAAATTCTCTGTCAATAAAATAAACCATAAAACTTCAGCTAAGGACAAAGGATTCAAGCTTGTTAAATGGTGTAGGTTACAGGAACACTAGTATACATGGCAGCAGTGTGTATTCAGTTTAGCCAGGACAATGCCATGACAACTGATTACTTAGAAGGTCATATAAAAAAGGGCGTACCCAGTGCAGAGAGCTCCCGCTCTGTGCGGGGTCTGGGGAAGGGTATAGGAAAATATATTCTTACTTGAAGAAACCACCCCTAACATTGCAAGCAACATTCCGTGCGACGCATAGAACTGGAATAGGGAAGTTTGCCTGAAAGTTAAAGACAAGGTGATACTACCCTCAGTAGCTCATTAAGTAAAATAGCTTTATGTTTGTATAGTAAAGTTCAGAAAAAACCTTTACCTCTGCCTGGGGAGCGTAATATGGAGCAAATGCAGGAACAACGTGAACTCTATGTTGGTCCCTCTCATCCCAAACTTTCAAACGGTCGTCAATGACAAGGGCCATTCCAGGGTGACAAGATCCATCATGGAACACATTTAGCAAAGATTTTCTTGACCCTAGATGAATAGATTTAGCATTGACTCAAAAGGATGGAAAGATCAAAAGCAGTTATGTCCATGCACATGGAAGTTCATAGAAGAGAATGACCCTATCGACAAACTCAGCAACGTACAAACACAAAATAGCATGATGCTCCTTTTATACTTGTACTGTTTGAAAGAAGAATTCAAAACATACCAGATTTGACACATACAAGTCTGTCAAGAAGTTGAACGGAGTTTATCAATCTTGAATCTGGATCAAGCAACCTCCACATTTCCAAAGCGTAGTCCCTCTCAGCCATTGTGCACACATAAACCTCAAAACGTTTGCGACCTCTTGCAATTAAGTAGCTCCGAAGGTCGTCCCATGCAGGTCTTAACCGCACCAGAACACTAGTATCTCTTATCTAAATAACAAAAAGGAAAGGAAAATAAACTGTGCAGTCTACCAGCATGTAAATGTAGTTGAATCAAAGCCTGATCGGGACAGGTTCACTAACAGCAAAATAAAGTTTAGGTCAGCCAAGAAAAAAAAGAAAGGTTAAAATTTTTGTTGGCCCATATGCCAATACAGATTGATTCAAGCACATAAACCAAATGTCCAAAGCATGAACTAGTAACATCATTTCAGTCAAGTAAAATCAGGTAAATCGTGTTAATATTCATATGGTCTCCAAATTGGCATTTTCGTATGAAAAATTTCTGCCATGTAAATCAGGTGAAACAGGATGTCTATAATATATTAAATTGTTAATTTTGATGGCAGTATGGCACATTTCAGTTAAAAAAGCATCATGCAAAAACAAACTGAACAAGGTAATATGTTACTACACTTGACAAAAGTGGTGATTAATAATATATGTGGAAGTATCGATCATCGCATGGTTTTAGAACAAGTCAGAGTTATTAGTTACTTACTGATGGATTTATACGTGTCAAGATAATATTTTTCTCGTGCAACCTTATAATCGGGCGTGTCATAGGTTGTTGATGATTATCAGCTAAGGGTGGAATGACCTCTGATTGTACTTTGTACAATTCTCCTCCATCAGTAACCTGATCACTTTCTATATACTGTTTTAGGATAGACTTGTCTTCTTGGTACCTCTTGATCTCCGCCAACATACCACTAATGCGCTGCGGATCAGTCTCATTATTCAATTTTCTCTGAATAGCATCTATCCTGTCTTCAAAAGATCGCGTGGTATTGGCAACAATTAATGTTTCATCAAGGTCAAACACAATACCAAGGCATCGAAGATTCAGCATACTCAGGCAAGAATTATACAAGCCCAATGGCACTTTAAAGCCCCAAAAACATGCACCATTTGGCATGTTTCTCTTAGAAGTCATCGCCACTAAGTGTATCTCTTCTGCTCCAAGTGGAAAAACAGCCGTCTGCGAAAACAGTGAATAAAGAGAAGAAGATGAGAGAAGGAACGAATGTTTTCATATTAGGGAAAGAGTGCAAATAGAAGACTTATTGCACACAATACGCATGGAAATTCACAAGGCGCGTATAACAATCTACAATAGATGATCCCAGCTTTTCAATGTATCATGTGCCTGGTTGATCTAGTACAGAAAATAGTACTATGTAGAAAGGAAAATTCAAACCGTATGTTTTGTTCTTAATTTTTGTAGTGTTAATCAGCTGAACACTATCTATAGCCAAAATAATTAAACAAACAAATAGAACAGAAATTTGCACAGCAGTATCAATACTGATAAGTGACTATATATAGGAACACATGTGCTCTTTAAATAATTTGGGTCCGGCGAAATCAAGCTGCACATTAACTTTCCAGCAGATGATTTCCATGGACAATTAAAGCAAGCTTCAGTCATTCCTCAAATACATCTGTTGGTATGTGGAGTTCAGCTGTCAGAATCAACAGCTGCTTCAATAAAATTCTGATGGCAACTAATCCAAAGTCCCAAGTCAAGAACTGCTGAATAGCAGCAAACTCTTCATATCTCTCTGGCATGCCTTAGCAACCAATGTCCCATTCAAGAGCTCAATTCATATGTTTGATGTTCGCTCCATTTTTTAAATATGAAACACTGTTCCTGAAATCTCATCCCCATAGAGCAATGTCAGGCCAGGTTCCGCATTTGCATTTGTTCTATCACTTGAGATCAAGTTAAAACCAAATCCATGGTCTAGAAAACATCATACAGAAACTGAATTCTCATATAAATTCCAGTCGTTATCATTAATATGTCACATCTTTGCCAAAAGAAAAAACCTAGTCCACATATCAACAGAATTGTCCGTGCTGCATTACAATAATCATTAATGCGGTAAATGTTACAATAATACTTTTTTGCTAGTTTTCTTGGGCAACTTAAGACTCCTGTCTGGATAAACTAGTCCATGTAAATGTAAAGTTCAAAGGCTTAATTCGTTCATTTGACTGTCCCATTAGTTCTGATTGAGCTTTTGATTGTTTTTCTTTGTCAGGAATGATTCGCGTATATACCTTGTTATCCTTGAGACAAGTGGTGTGCATGGTGACGAGCGGCGGCGGGGGCTCGTGAGCCGTGGCAGTGGACTTCGACTCCATCACGAGGCATCGGGCGCCGGCCGCGACGACGTGCAGCACGGCGAGCGGCGGGCACCGCTCGCTGGCCGGGGACAGCCGGTCCACCCGGATCTCGCGCGCCCACGCCAGGTCCGTCTGGCCCTTGGGCCACACCTCCACCTCCCCAACATGGGTGTTCCCGTAATAAACCAGCGACTTGATCATGTCCAACGCACCGCACAAAAACAAATCCGTGCGGTTTCAGAGATCCAAATCCCTCGGGTCAGCAGAATCTGTTACGCACGTCCACGCACTGGCAGATCTGTTCTTATCAAGTCTCCGGAACCAGCAAGAATTCAGCAATGGACAGATGAGCGCGTGCTGCTACGTTATTGTACTTCTTCGGATCACATTCGAGTTCTTCGCAAATTACGAACTGATTTGGTGCGCCGGGTAGGTTTGAGGGTGGGTTTGCGCAGGTCACGCGAAGCCACGGCAATGGCGGCGGTGGGGAGCTCGGGGAGGAGAAGGGAAGGGGCTGGAGGAAGGGGGCGTCTGATCAGATTCAGAGTACCATTCATCCACGGGTGGCTCAGTGTTGGGTTGGTGAGGGATATCAACATGTTTTATTACCACTGATTCGCCGGTGGTCCGGTGCTAAGGTTGGTGAGACATAAGGATGTTAGTTTTTATTTTTATTTTTTTTCTGTTCGACTTGGAGCTAGGTTGGCGAGGGAGTACCATTGATCCATGGGTGGCTCGGCGCTGGGTTGGCGAGGGACATCAACATGTTTTATTACCACTCCAGTTATCCAGTGCTAGGTTAATGAGAGAGAAGGATGTTAGTTTTTTTTCGTTTAGCTTCGTGCTAGGTTGGCGAGGGTGTATTAATTATGATTATGAAATAAAGTTTGTTCGTCTATCATAAACTATGTCTCTCCTTTTTGTCTGTTCGTCCTATTTCTCACGTAACCCATCCATCCACCCGTTATCTAATCATCATCCTCACTCCTCACTCCTCACGCAACCCATGCCGCATGACTCCCACGCCACGTCATGCTGCCTCCCACTGTTTGTCAAGCTCCCTCCGACCTTGTTCCTTGCTCCCTCCCCCTTCCCTGCCTCCAAGCTCCCTATGACAGGAGGTCGAGCGTTAAAAACTGCGCCGCTAGAGCACCCAGACCCTCTAACGATCCTCAGACCCCTGGTACTCTAGCCCCCCGACAAGGACACTAGGGATTGGAGCTCATCCCCACAAAGGGACTGCCCGCGGGCCAAGGTCTCTCCTCGCAATAGGGGTTGGGGCCAGGGTCAGGGCCCTTCCCAAAATCCAACGCTGAAGACCCCAACAGTACCCGCATCCAGCGGTCGAGCGAGTCGCGAGGGATGAATTTGTCTGACTCGATCGTCGGGTCCTCTGTCCCGATATAATCCCACATGGCGTGGGCTCAAGCTTTCAACGGTAGGACGCAACGTGCCATGAACGTCTTAATGACCATAGGCCTCGTCAGCCCCCGGTCCTTCAACCACCCGATCGCATCCAGCGGCATCTTGGTCTCATGCGCTTCCGACCGTTTGGGAGGCTCGCCCACGACTCTGGTGCATTGCCGCCCACACGGTCAACATAGAACAAGGGCAGCGCCAGCCCCACATTGGGAAGAACCACTCCCGGTGCCACACCTTCTCCGACAAATAGGAACGAGAGGTCGAGGTAGCGTGCCTTCTTATTGTTGCGAAGCTAGATGCTGGTGACGTCCACCCAGCTGGGAACGCCCTCTGTCTTCGTCACCCACTGGTAGAGAACTCATCTCTAGAGCGTGAAGTAGGGATCTATCCCCAAAAAGCACATGGCCACGAAGACGGTGATGTGAAGGACGCCATGCGGGGTCAGATAGTGAGCCGCAGCTAGTAGAAGCGCAGCAGCCCACGAAGAATTGGATGTGCCGGGACCCCGAACCGAGGTGAAAGGGGACGAAGGAGACGGTCTCCGACGGCCTGGGCTTTGGCACTGCCTCCTCTTAGCCCAGCAACCACCTGTAAGTGGGTTTTGGTGATGTTGACCACATAATTAAAGGTCTCATGGATTTTGTAAGTGTTTGACAACATTTCATAGTCATGGGTGCAAAGAAACACTAAAGGAAGACCCAACTCAAAAGGATGGCTTGCAAAGGTTCAAAGAGCTAGTTTACTTTATTTTCTATTTTGAAATTGAGTTTTAGGATAAGACGTACTCAAGGATGGCAACGGGGCGGTTTCGGGTTGGATATCCGCGGGTTTCGGGTCTTGCGGGTTCAGGTTTGGGGATGATTTCTCACCCACGGTTTTCGGGTTCGGGGCCCCGAAACCAATCGGGTTTGGTTTTCCACCCGTGGATATCCAATGGATATCCGAAATAAATCATTTGGAATTAAAACTCATGTTTTATAATATGCTAATAATAACTTGTTTACTTATATTATTAAATTTATTCTAAGTTGACTCGTGAAAATATTTATTATTTGTTGCCTCTTTGTTTATATATGTGAATATGTGTATATATATCATGCATATGTTTATAGAAAGTCCTTATTTCTCTTACTATGTTGTCATACAAGGCGGGTTTCAGGTATCCATTCGGGTTTCGGGTATCCGCGGGTTCGGTTTTGGGGACGGATTATCACCCGAATCGGTGTTCGGTGCGGTTTCGGGTTCGGGTACACAGAGACTCCACCCGATCCGAATCCGCCCCGTTGCCATCCTTAGACGTACTATCAAGGGGATACTAATAGTGCGCTGGGAAGAACCAAATGCTCATATCTTTATATACCTCAAATCAACCCAACCACAAAATGCCAAAAGCTTCTCATTCCTATTCTTGTCTAACATGCGCGTCGTCGCGAGCAATGACGAGGAGCATTGGGATACTCCAATGCAGCACTCCGTTCAATGGTTAGTTTTTGAGCCGTTAGAATTCGATCATTGGGATACTCCAATGCAGCACTACGATGCTCATCGGAGCTATCCCATGTGTGCACTGAAAACTGGCCAAGTTGGCAACGACTAGTTTTGTGTGGCGGGTTATAAATAGGTGGTGTGTTTGGGCATTTTACCTCTCTTGGACCCTTGGATAATATTGTAACACACTAGCCCATAAGTAGCTTGTAGTTGGACTATCTGGCCCATGTGTGGTTGTGGTTTGTGGGTTTAGTACCACCTTTCAAGTTTAGGAGGGTGACAACCAGCTTATAATCCTTGTCGCTCCAAATGTAGCACCTTCGGGTTAACCCTTTTACACAAAATAAGAACGAAAGTGTAAGAGATGTGCTCCAAGGGCATATGAGTCCGTTACTTTTGGTGGTCGCTGCCACCAACAAGCCTAGGTTGAGATTGAATCATTCAAAAAAGAGTTGGCATACGAGCCCGTTGCTCTTGGTGGTTGCTGCCACCGACAAGCCTAGGTTGAGATTGAATTATTGAAAAGAGTTCTATGCCATGAATTAGCCAGCCTTTGGTCTCTATGATTTAAGGAAACATGAGCTCGGGATTTAACCAACCAAAAGGTGAAGAAGCAGCAGCAGATGATCTTGTGGGCTTGGGTGGTTCCTTCAATCCTGTCTTTGTCCACCTCCTTGGTTGCTCCAATCCTTCTTCTTCCTCCTTGCTTGAGAGATGTTCGAAGGGCGGGGAGAGCAAGAATAGAAAGAGTGTGGGAAGGAGAGTGTGAGGGTGAGGCATAAAAAGATAGATGCATAGAAAGATAGATGCCGCCGCTGGTTTGGTCGTAGAGAGTTTGCCTGGTGGAGCCAAATAAACCAGTCTTTTGTCATGCAAGTTTCAAAAGATGAACTTAAATGCAAATTATGATCATGATGTGCATGCTAAACTTGAAATGCACAAGCGGGTCGTGGTAGATTTTCTTTAGAAAATGGCAGCATATTGTAAGAGAAATTAAGGATTAAAATGTAGTTTGTATGACTTTTCTCTTATAAAAATATGTTTATCATTCCTGGATGGAGGGAGACTTGGTCAAAGATAGAAAATTTTGATTTAGGTCAAAAGTAAAGTGGTCTCTAATTTAGAATGGACGAACTATTGCATACTATAACCTTCTTATGTCTAATAAAACGGCATAAGTACTGTTTACACTCCTAAATGGTGATTTCTTTCGATGTACTCCTTTCCTATTTTCCCCTTTATTCTTTTGATGAAGGTGTTGACCAAACCGTCTGATCTTTGTTTTTTGAACCTAAACCGTCTGATCTTACAACGAGAAGAGCACATTTCACCAAATGTTTACACTCATTGACCCCACGATAGTTGGATTGGTGATGAGGCCGACAAATTTGTTTGTGTGGTCCTAAAGATACATGCCCTGTTTGTTTGGCTGATAAGCCATGGCTAAAAATACTGTTGACTGATTTGTTGTGAGAGAAAAATACTGTTCGTTGGCTAAAAAAGTACGTCTTATAAGCCAAACGAACATGACGGTTCAGAGGCGTCAGCATCAACACTGCAAAAGCAGTCCCCCTTTTGCATTTTTTAATTAAAAATTAAAAAAACGCAAATGCAGATGCTCCCATGCTCGGCATAATAAATTTCTAACTCAAAACAAAATAGCAAAAATCACACTGTTCCGCTGATTACCTTCGTCAAGCACTCTAGTTGATTTCCCATGTTTGTTTGACATCACATCAGCCGATCTCGCGAATCACCATTCCTGGTGCTGCTACGAGACGACCATGAATTATCGGGTCACCTTCGATAGGCGTCTCGATCAGATGCCCCTAACATCTCATATCCGACAGACCAAGGTCGTGGGAGGCCGGATCTCTCGGCTCATCTGGAGATTGCTTTTTGCCACCGTGGCCGCACCTCCACCGCTAGCAGGATCGGCGCTCGCCATCCAACATTTTAACTGTTGAAGTCCAAGGAAATGGGGTACTAGTTTTCTCCGGCAACCACAAGAAAACGGACTCCATACAGAGTGCACAGACCACACACGACACGTGAAAAGAGCATGTAGCAATGATTCAAAACAGAAACTGGATAAGAAATTTGTTGGACAACCGACAGTTGGGACACCAGATACACATCAGAAATGCACCTGCCAGCCTTGTCCGGAAGCAAGGTCCAAAAGCTTCAGAACTCAAAATTTTTCAGATCTTCCTAATCCATCAATTACTACTATACCCATGTAACACTAACATCTCAAGCCTGCTATACCAGTACAACGAATTCACAACTCTATGCAACTGTTTTTTGCTTTTCTATTTCTGTAGAACTAAGATTTCTTACAAGAATATATAATAATGGGTAAACATAAAGTAAAAATGAAAAGCTAAACTGGACTCAATGGAGAAAACAGATGAAAAGATGGCTGGCAAAAGATCCCAAAGATCTAGCTCCAACAGGCCGACGCCCCCTCGTCCTTCCCGGGCTCCATTCTCATATACAATTCCGGGCAAACGAATTCGCCGTACCTTGAGTACCAGGTCGTAGGTTAGTTGAAGTTCGCATGCAGGTGCACCTAGGAGCAACAAAATCCAATCCCAGATTGCTGTGCAAATCACCCAAACTTTCACCTATCTATACACAAAAAATCACCCGTCTTGCTGCAGGGCAGACGCCAAGACCAGGCAGCAGCCTCATAGCTACTATACTCGAGCAGGAAACCCAAAATTCTGAAATGTTCTGATCTGACCTCCACGGCCTGCCGTGACAATTACAGTTCCCCAGGCTGACCGACTTGGAGCTTGATCAGCACCACTGGGAAGACTGGCACTAGACCGAGGGCTCTGCTTTGTTGGCGTCATGAGCTCTTCAGGCCAAGTTGCTCTATCACCACTGTGATTTGAACTGGTGCTTAGGATATTGCCACTTTGAGGCTGGAAATCAGAGGAATCTTGCAGTTTTTCAGGGACAGCATGCAGCAGAGAATGCTCCAATACAGAATCCTGCTCATCGTGCTTCGTGGAGTTTGCTCTGGATACCATTGCTGAGCCATTAGATGGCAGTGCAACAGCAACTGTCACATCCTGGCAGTGGAAATGTTCATAGGAATTGGTGACAGTAACATTCCCCTTGCTTCTGCCTTGTTCAAGGTTATCATCGTTTCTCCATATGTACACATGGGAATCCTCACTTGCTGAGATCACATACCTCCCATTTGCAGCTAAACAGGCTGAAATCTGGCTGTTAGTGTTTCGGAAACCTGAAACAGAAGAGAACAAAGAGTGAACAGCCATTGCACTGGAAACAACTGAGCAGAAAATTAAGCATTTTGCTTCAAGGGAAAAAATATGCATATTGGACACATCAACGAGCAGATATAACTGTGTTATCATGTTAAGTGAACAAGAGGACCTATCACCTCAACAAAGTGTAGAATGACAGGTTTTGTCACTTTGTTGAAAGCACATGACAGGAGAAACACGAAAATGCTACATGATTCAATCAATGGAACATGGAAATATATTATTGGTAAATAGATGACTATATGATTTGATTGCTGCCCATCTATTGTAATCCTATCAAACTACAGACACCGGGATTCTAATACAGAGAAATAAGTTTTTAATGAGCAACCAAAAACAGGTTTTTAAAATGTAATTACGTAAAGAACCAGTCGTTTTACTAAATCACTTCTTAGAAGCAGAGAAAAACACTGTGTCAGTACAAAACTATGCCTTGCAAAAACAAATGATGTGATATGCCTACTAATCTTAAAAAGGCTCCCAGACTCAAAATTTGATACCTTTGTATTTGTGAACTAGATTAAGGCCATCAACAACCCTGATTCTTGAATCTGCAGATGTAATAAGGACCTTTGAAGTACTCCCTGGGAGAAACTATTCAAGGAACTATTATTTAGTAAGACAGGAAGCTTAATGATATAAAAAAAAATACTGTGTACACATCTTGTGAAGTATACGCAAATTTGTTTGGGCTATGCACCTGAAATCCAGTGATTTTCTTCTGACTGGACTTCTTTTTCTTATTTTGCAGGTCAATTTGTTTCTTTTGGAGAAGCTTATTATCTGGTCAGAAAAAGTAAAAGAAAAGGTAAGTCATAGCAGAAGAGAAAACATGAAAACATGATGATATGATGCAGGTGGAGAGGTACCAGATGTATCATAAATATGGCAGCTGCCTTTATGGGAACCAATTAATGCGCTCTTCAAAAAAGAAAGAAATATGTCAGACTTTAACATGAAGAAGATATTAGATCAAAGAATTATGTAAGATGATTAAAACCTGTCCATCTGGGGTATAGCAAGCAGCAGTGACCATTTCATGCAAATCTTTCCAATCAACAATTTCACGGTTTTGAACGCTCCATATGCGGACTTTTTCATCCAGTGAACCACTAATGAAGTATCTATCATCAACAGGGTTGAACTGGATGCATGTCACTAGGATACAAGTTCAACAAAAGAAAATTCAGCACGCTGGCAGAGTGACAAAACATTAAGGGCAAGGGGCGGGTAACTCTTACCATAGTCACTGTGTGAGAATGTTTTCAGACAGGAAGTGCTCGAAATGTGCCATAACTTCACCGTTTTATCCATTGAAGATGAAAGTAAGTACTGCAAAGCATTTCAAAAAGGTATCACTGCGAAATTTTGTAAGGAGTTAATGGAACTTTACCAATCATAGTTCGTATGGATGCACTGTCGGTGAGCACAAAGTCGATATGTGGCCAGCATAGAGAGGTATGGAATAGATTTTTTCAGCTGCCAACTTAATACCTAAAAGGAATCCAACAAATTTTATGAGTCTAATCATGCGTTTGTGCTCTTGGAGGCAACTGGTCGGTGGCTAAATGCAACCCCTTTCATAAATAAGTGCGATTAGGGAGGGGGTAACTCAAATTTGCAGAACCTGATAAATAGAAGTACACTACTGATGGTTTGATGCAATGTGACTTAGCGCCAGGCCATTTGTAATCTGAGTAACAGGTTAGAAAATGTGTGTCCTAAGACCATAAATTGAGACTCCACAACTTGATGTGACATTGCCATGTTTATATGGCCTGTTTCATGATGTTACTTAAGTTGTGAGCACCGAACAAACAACCCTTTATACTTGCATTTAGTCAATATAAAAGTTTTAAAAAATGAAAAACACATGATGAGGCAAGATAATCCTAGATTTTAGAAGCCCACACACCTAGTCCGTGCTATATTGTGAAACACATAATATATATTTGCTGACTCAACAAGAAAAAGATGGGAACTAACAAGTAGCCGACGTTTAGAGTCACAAGAATAAATTATCAAGGCGCTGAAAAATATCATGTTCATGGCAATCTGGGCATTAGTGTTTGGTATGTTCTTTTACCATTTTAAGAAATTTCCACCAGACGTTTGGCATGGCCTGATAATGGTTATATGCTGATAAAATCACCAATATGTGCATATACAAAAAGGTAAAATAACTTGGAGGAAGAACGCCAAAGGTAGATAGCAAATAATTGATTATATGCACTATGTCCTAACATGATTGAACCCAATTACCACAAAGATGGACTGTTGAAACAATGCTTCATAAAAATGTGCCATTAACATTTCTGGAGTAAAACGAATAACAAGAACTAAGCAATTGCTATCTATAATCATTATATACTAGTTATGGCATGCTTCTAGATTTCAGTATTTATCAAATTACTTGTCAAATATCAACTAGGGGAAACTTTAGAACAAACAGCAACGCTAGAAATACCTGGGATTTGGACCAGCAGAGATCCAGCACGTCTTCTGAATGCCCCACGAAGGTCCGAATCGGCTTTTCTGACAGCGCAAACGTATGCTCTGGCACCATTAGCCGGTCTGAGCTCCCAGACCTACGGCCCTCCAAGAACCTTGCCCGACGCTTCTTCTCACGGTTGCTCCCATCCACACTGCTGGCCAATGCTAATGTCGGCTCCGGCGAACCGTTGCACGCTATGGCAACAAAAGGATTGCACACTCCGTTCTCCTCGCGTTTCCTCTCAAACTCTGACACTTCCCAGACATGGATCACGCAGTCTTCCCCAGCACTCGCGAGGTACCGGCCATCTGGACTAAACCTGATGCTCCAGATGGACCCATTGTGAGCCTGAATCTCCTGGTTCATGAATAGGCCACTGAACTCTTTGTACGACTTCCCATACTGCCTCACCTTAACGCGCACCGGGCCATGGTGCACGGCTCCGGCGCTGTCCTGGCTGTCATCTGTTGCTGAGCTGGACCGGCGCCCGCCTTTCTCCGACGACGTGTCCTTCTCGTCGCTGCTGCGGCGGTCGCGGGAGCTGACCACCATGGAGCCGATGACGTTTCGAACGCTCCGAAGCCAGCTGCTATGCCGCCGGTGTCGCGTTGCTCCGTTGCTGGAGTCGGAGTTGGACCTCTGGATGGGGGTGGACGAGCCGTTGTTTGAGCCGGAGTTGGCAACATTCTCGCGTCGCATGAGCTCCTGGACGATAGGCGAGCGGCCGACGCAGAGGTCAACAAACTCCTCCATGGTGAGCTGCCGGCCCGTGCCGACCTCGCGGAGCTCGAACTCCTCCTTGACCACGAACTCGCTGCCGTCGTCGAGGTTCCGGATTAGGCACCTCGGGTCGGTCTCCTCCCCTTCGGGCGTGGCCTCGGAGGAGCCCGACGACGCCTGGCGCGACCGCCCGCCCAGCGGGGGTTTCGTCGCCGAGACAGGCACGGCGCCGTCTGATCTGGATCGGGAGATGGGCGAGGCCGGCGCCGGGCGGACGGGCCCGTCGTAGGAGACCGATCGGCCCATCTCGAGGCGCGTCAGGGCGGGGTCCCCGGCGAGCCCCATCATCTGGAGCAGCTTCCCGCGCCGCTCCTGCACGGGCGCCGGCTCGGACGTCCACACGTCGAGCGCCGCCGCCGCGGCGGCGGCAGAGGCGGCCCCGTCCCGGCGCCGTCGCGGGCGGTCGTTGTCGTCATCGTCCGAGGCGGAGGTGGAGGAGCAGGAGGAGGAGAGCACGCGGTCCCGCGACTCGTAGAACACCTCCTCCTCCTCCTCCCCGCCGCCGGCGCTCATCTCCGCGTCCGCATTGACCGCCGAGGAAGACGGAGTCGACACGGCGCCGCCCCGCGGATGGAAATTGCCCGGTCGGCACGCGTCGACGACGAGGAGGGAGGAGGGGGAAGCAAAGCGCCCGCGACCGCGACCGCGCCTGCGCGCAGGTGGCGTCAGATCCACCACGGGCACGAGGCCCGCGACCGGTTCGTCGTCGGGCGGGGCCAATCGCGACGGGTTCCTGCCCCGTGCCGCGCGCCTGCCTGTGCCTGTGCCTTCCCTCGAAAAGTGGTGGTTGGTGCTGGTGCCGTCGTCGTTGTTATTGCGGTGGTGGTGCTTGCGCTTGGCACCCCCTCCTCTCCCCCGCTGCGGCTGCGGCTGCGGCTGCGCCTGCGTGCATCGTTGTTGTTGGCGGTGTTTACCAGCGCCTACTGTTTACTGTCGGGTAGGCAGGCGGCACAAATCGTCCTCCGCCCCTCTCCTCTCCTGGCCATGGGGAGGGAAGGGAAGGGACGTTAAAAACCCGGCGGCCGTGGGACCCAGCCGTCAGCCGGAGCGCTCGGGCGCGACAACTTGGGAAAGGGTAACCGCTCCTGCCGTTTTGGGGAAGTTGATTAGTGCCAAGGGGGAAATGGCCAGGAAATGGAGTGCGGTCAATTTGGGGGCGTTTTGGGAGTTTTAAGGTGAGGTGGCGCAGGCCGAGTACGTACCGGACCCGAAAAGAGGCGTCTGCCGCGCGCTTTGGTTCTTTTACTTTTCGGCTGCAAAGAATAGTTAGATGCCGCCAGTGCGTCTCGCATCTCCGCTCCGGCGAAGGTATTGACGTCGTCATCTGTACTGTACCCGAATCCTGAGCTGGTGGTAAAGGAGGTGTCTTTTGAATTTCCCTTCAAAAATTTGGGTGGGGGGTGGGGGGCAGGCAGGCAGTATCTGGCTATCCGAGTGAAGGATGAAGGATCCATCGATGTCAACGAAGCCAGATGTTGTTGGCACCTGTAAAAATTAAGATGGGGTCACGTAAAAATTAAGGAAAGCACACACGCAGGCGGCATGTGCCATGGCTTTGGCTAGCAGATTGGCACCACATGCAGCGTGTCAGGACCATCGCGCAACAGTTCATCAAAGATCCACTAAAGCCGATCTTTCGAAGAAAAAAAAGATCCACCAAAGCCTCCCGGCGGGCGGCCGGGCTGCCGGCAGGCATCCGATGCTGGCAGCCAGTCCCTCTCTCAAAGCCCTTCTTCGCCAGCGAACAAGCCGAAGTCAAGTCTCAAGTCCCAACTGGAAAATCCCGAGCGCGTGCCGCGCACCCCGCGCTGACGACGTACCGCTGCCGCGCCGCGCGGTCCCCGTCCCGGCCCCGGGCCAGCAGGAGCGCGGCGGCAGGCACGAACGCATCTGGTGTCCCTTCGGTCCCTGCGCTCGACCACGAGTCGCGATCGGTGGATGGATCGTTTCGTCGGGGACGGACGAGCGGAGCAGGCCGCCGGGGTGCCGCAAGCGCAACCCCCGCGCGCGACATAATCGAGCAGAGCAGAGGCAGCAGAGGCGCAAGTGCAAGACCGACACCGCCCAGCTGCGCTCGCGCCCAAAAGAGGGCTACGAATCGCAGCGGGCGCGCGGGCGGGCAGGCACAGGCGCAGGCGGGCGGACCACCGTCCTCGGGCGGGCGGGGCGGGTCCCCGCGGCATTTACCCTACCACACAGTACTCTACTCCTCAGTCCATTCGTTTGGTTGTAAATAATCGTGGATTATAAATCAGAACAATATTTTTCTCTCACACCAAACCAGCCAATAATAATAATTTATGATGGTATACGAACGTATCGGCACCCGCTCTCAGCAATGCCTCAAATCGCGCACATGACAGACAATGCTTGGGAATACATTAGTCGAAAAGCAAAGCTCCAACGTGCTAGCTATATACTAATTATACAGTGTACTGCTTTTGAGCTCTTAGCCTGGGATCTCGTATATATATATAAATTTATGCGCTCATGAGTTTTGACGACTAAGGTGGTGAACGATGACATGACCGTAATTCTTAGTGCGCACTGGATGTAATTGCCTAATCTAATCCAGTCTAATCTCACTGGCACGGTGACCCGTGAACAGGAGTTTTGGCAGGATCGCAAGGGGAGACCGGCCAGTGGATAAGATGAGTAGTACACATCCAAGAAGCAGCATTAGCACTAGGGCCGTGATTGGAGTGATTAATTAACTGATGAAGCAAGCTTACAGCTAACTCTGTCACTGCTACTACTGCTAAACAGCTGGTGCGTGTTGACGAAAGGCTGTACGCTGGAGTACTTAGCCCTGCTAGAGGAGGCAGGCTGGGGAAAGCCTAGTGCGGTAGCCGCATAGGTGGGGGTGGTACCGGCTGGAAAAAGCCTGAAAAAGCCGTCACCGAAAACATGTGTCCCCATCAATGCATACGCTGCCGAAGTGCCGATGGATCATGGATGGATGGATTTACCGCGGTGGCCACGGGTGTGGAACACAAGCACAAGCACACCCACAGGCCACAACGACAAACAAACGCATGCCATTGTCAAGGTGGCTGCCGCATGACCTGTTTGATAGATTTATAGGACATCTACGCGTAAATCTAGTGGGTAAAATATAATTTAGATAGAGAACTTGATGTATCTCGTTCACGGATGTCGCGGCCATGGCGCCGGTGAGAAAGTAGCAGTAGCTTGACGCACCCGCTAGGGTCTCGAAGAAGGCAGGAGTATAGGCGCGATCTGGAGGCAGCGGTGAAGGCGGTGGAGCTTCCCGTCACTCACATCGCACCTTCACGATCGGACTAGGGTTAGGACATGGTGGGGCGCTGGTGGTTGCGGTGAACCTCATACCTTGCGTCTCGGTCCCCACCTTCCTCTTTATAGCGCTGCGCGACGGAGGGCCATCAGCTAGGAGAACGGCTGGGCGCCCCGATCAGGGCGCGGATCAAGGGCCCAATTGACCGTTGGACCAACTGGTGGAGATCAATCTAACATTACCCCTTGATCTCACCTTATGACTTAGACTTAACTTACTTTATCTTTTTCCCATTCCATCGCAGATTAGTGCATAGAGCGTGCCTCATCGTCATGATCAGTTATCATTAGATTAAACAGCTATAATGCATCTCTCTATTTTGAAACAGATTCTCAACTAGGCCCTTAATATCCAGAAATCATAGGTTTTTCTCGTAAATCCATGTCGATTGTGTGTTCTCTTAACACAATGGGTGGTTAGCCTTTGGTAAGCGGATCCGCAAGTACTTGCTTGGTACTTATATGCTCAATGCTTTCAAAATGATTCTGGATTTTCTTCTTTACAACATATAACTTAATGTCAATGTGTTTGACAACACACTTGACCTGTTGTCTTAGGAGTTAACTACTTTAAATGGTTATTGCTTATGACTACCATTGTTAAATCCGGATACATATTCTCTTAACCACTTTTGCCTGTTTCCTAAGGCCTCATGACAAACTATACTATGATATGCATCATTAATGACACCACAACTTTTTTATTAGAGCTTTTCCACAATAATACTCCAACTGACGAGTGTTAGCAACTATTGTGGATTTCACTACACATCTCGTCAAAACTTAACATTTGTACCCATAACTATTTGAGAGTACTTGTTCTTTCTTACTCAGCGATGAGACCTATGATACTTTGTAAAAATTGCAAGACATTCTTAACTCCATTCTAGTGATCTATATCTGGACTGGACTTCTGCCAAAATATCCCGGATATGTAAGCTACATCAAGGTAAGTTCTTACTTGTACATTCATTAAGCTTTCAACAGCTGAAACATATGTAACCATGTTCATTTGATCGATCTCATATCGGTTCCTAGAACACTGAAAGTTTCCAAATCTATTATCCTTGACTATATAAGCAGGCGTAGGTTTACTCGCATGCATACTTTATTTCTTTACAATCTTTTCTAAGTATGCCTTTGTGATAGTCCTAATACCCCTTTTTATCTATCTCAGTGAATTTCAATTTCTAGAACCAATGAGGCTTCACCAAGATCATTCACATTGAAACTTGAGGATAAAAACATCTTCTTCTCCAATGGCAGATTAACATTACTACTAGTGAGTAGGATGTTATCTATACACAGGATGTGGAAAAAGAATTTTACATTCTTGAACTTCACATAAACGCTATTATCCTTCTCATTTTATTTAAACCCAAACTTTCTTATCGTTTCATCAACTTCAAATACTACTGTCTAGAGACTTGTTTTAACCCATAAATGGATTTCTACAGGCGGCATCCCATACGTTCTTTTTCTTTCACTACAAAATCTTTGGGTTGTGCCATGTAAACGTTTTTATACAAATTTCCATTGAAGAATGCCGTCTTTACATCTATCTAATGTAACTCTAAATCGTAATGTGCCAATAACACCATTATAATTCTAAAAGAATCTTTGGATGAGACTAGAGAGAAAACTCTTATCGTTATCTATTCATTCTCTTTACGTAAAACCTTTTGCTATAAGTCATGCTTTATATCTTTCTACATTCTCTTTGAGTTACATTTTGTCTTGTAGACCCTTTCACAGCCTACTATTTTTGCTCTATTAGAAATTTCTTCTAACCCCAAACATTATTAGTATTCATCGAATTTATTTCAACTTCTATAGCTTCTCGCCATTCAAACGAGTAAATATTTCTCATGGCTTCTTCAAATAAGGTGGGATCACCCTTCATTTAAATTTCTTCACTAACATAGACTTCATAGTTATTAGAAAACTGGTTTACTAATTCTTTGAGATCTTCTGGGGCCTCAGCTACTGGCACTTTCATGTGGGGCTGTTGTTGCTCTTTATGTTGCTAAGAGACAATTGATTCTACAGGCTCCTGTATCACAAAATCCTTATTTACATTATTCATCTTCTTCAAAGAGCCAACAACAGGTGTTGTATAAGTCATACAACATCAACAGATATCGAGAAATTCATTGTTTTGAATCACTGAAGTGGGCACGCAGTCTCGCTTCTCTTCA